AGCACTCAGAATTTTGTGGTTAGAAATGTTTGGCATCAGCCTCTTAAAAGTTGTCATTATGAAACAAAATTTGATTTCAGAAATGTAATGCTTTGCAAACTGCAGTTTAATAACAAAGCCCTTTCAGGACAAGTAAGTCTTATCAGGGAAAAACTTGAAAATAACTTAGATCATTGTGGTAATATTGAAATGATGGAGAATTTGTTATCCTTATTATGTGAAAGGTCACTTAAACACCCCTCTGATTCCACCAGCTCTAGATTTTAGGCAGATGTGCTTTACAATACTAATCGTCATCAGTTTGTGCCTAAGACTGCTAAGTGAAAAATTGGGGGGGTGTGGGGAGGGGTGTATATGTACACACATACATACATGTATGCTTGTGTGTGTGTATAGATTTTGTTTGTTTGTTTGTTTTTAAACACAAAGCTTTTTCAATTTCAATTATTTCAGCTTCCCCAACAGAAGTAACAAAATCCATATGTGTAACAATGTCAGCCTATCCCTAAGCAAACATTCCAGTGAGTTAGGCTGAAATGCACACAGGATTGACTCTGAGGTAAGCGTGACTTCATTAGTTGAATAGCTTCTTGGGGTGCTGTAAGGTGGTGAGAGGGCAATGGATACTAACAGCCTCCAATTCGAGTATTAATTGCTCTAGGCTTTCCTTGTACTGGTTTAGTGACTGCAGATAATAAGGACGTTCCGAGTAGTTCAGCAAGGTAAGGTGAATGGCAGAAAATCCAGTGTTTGTTGTCATCGTGGTCTGGATGAAAAGCAGCACTACATCCTACGAACTACATCTACCCGTGTGTGCGCTAACTGGGTTTTCTGCTGGGCATTGCATCCTGATTACCCACACAATTCATTTTATATTTATCACTAAATCTACTAAGCATAGGAATACTAATTGTTTTTAATATGGCATTGTTAAGCCTTTTTTTGACACCCCTCTTTATATTTCTAAATTGAATTAAATTACTCTGATCAAATCTAATCTATATAAAGACATCTCATTTACTGATTCTGCAGATTCCAGAGTGGAAATTTAAGTTGCATTTTGGTTTTTTACACTCAGACTTCGGATGCATTTATAAGGAAAGTACTGCACTTTTTTTTTTAACCTTTTCAAACCTTTGAATCTCTTAATTTCACAGCAATTTGTAAATGTTAACTAAGTGAAACCTTGGCAAGCACTACGGCAATAAGTTATCATTAATTATTGAAACATGATAACTGCTTTAGAGCTTATGGTTCTGGCAGCAAAGTTTAATGCTGTTTCTTTTAATAATAGTTAAGCCATATCATCTAAGGTTTCTGGCTTGAGATGTGAATTTGTTTTATAGATTATAAATATACCTATATAGTGTATGTATAAAGCAGAATGCCTGTCCTTACTGATTATTTTTTGTACCATATTGTAAATTATATTATTTATTCTTTACCAATTTTGGAAAAAGGTGTTTTGGTTATTTAATATAATATACAAAAGCTGTTAAACTTCCTCTGTTTAAATTTCCAATTCAACTTGTAAAGCTGTTTTTATTATTGTGCATAAATACATACTAATACTTGGTCTAGCTTGTGTCCAGTGTGTTACTTCCATAGACATCTCTTATCCCAGAATTGTCATGATTTTCACTATGGTGAGAGAAGGTTTTGGTTGGGTTTTTTTTGCTTTACAGCTTCCATTCCCAGCAGTTCTGCTCTTTGTGTCGGAAATGGGTCAAACCAAGGGCTGTCTGTCCTGAATGTCCTGTCTTCGTCCATGGTCACCAGTAACAAGGAAAGAAGGAAGGAAAGAAAGGCCCTTTATTTCTTTTCCCCTAGCTTTCTTTTTTTTTCTTCACAACTTCAGATAAGCAGGAACTTAGATGCATAGGTTGTATTCAGGCCATCATGTTTTATATAGTCACTACCAATAAAACTTTTCCACCCTGAGGACACCAGGAAGCAGTTGTCCAGAGAGGGTTGTGCAGTGGTCCCTCTTAAGAGCTTTCCAAGACAGAGGAAGCTGGTCTGATCTAGCTCACCCTGCAGGAAGTTAGACTCCCTGCCTGAGGTTCCTTTCAAGCTGAATTATCCTGTGATCTATGTCATTAACTTAACTAATACCTATTATTTTAGGATTTTGGTCTTCGCAATATACAATGGCAGCTTTGGTTTAATTTTGCATTGAGAGAGTGCAAGAGTGCTCTTAAACTAGATGATAAGAAATTAACCTTTTTAAAAGCTCAACAAAAACCTTATTAGTTATGTTCTTTGATGCTTCCTTTCCATCCAATGAGTGAGGACTCATTTCTACCACCTGTGTACTGAGAAAACTGGACTATAGGACCAAGTTTGAGCTGTTTCTGTGCAGCTTCTCACCTCCACCATGCTGTGACAAAGGCTCACAGCCTAGAGACCTTCAACTCTCCACCTTATGTCAAAGCTGGTACTGAATCCTACCACTTTCTTACAGATTATCTAATTTTGCCCTTAATGACCAAAACTTAACACTGCAGGAACAGAAGGAAAGGATTATTAGCAAAGCAATAAATGAAACAAAGCTGGACGTTGCAGTTAGAGTATGTGTTTTTGGTGTGTGTTTTTTC